TTTTCTGAAAATTTCCCATTTTTTTCCGAAAAAAAAAAACGGGTTTTTCCGCCGGCTCAATTTTTCCACAATGTTTTTGACTATATTCCTCAAAAATTTTTTTAGGATTTAGTATTTAAATAATTACTATTTTACAAACATTTTTACATTTTTCTCAATATTTTTTATATATATCCATATATATTTAATTTTTAATATATTTAACAATATACCTAAGCTAAATATTTAGATTATATTTCACAAGGATGTACTGCTGTTCTTTTGAAATATTTCATGAGGTATTTTTACTATTTTACTATTTTACGAACATTTTTACATTTTACAAGAAGTTTTACTTAATTTCTTAATTTTTATTTCAATTTTTATTATATCTAACAATAGCTTTTATTTCAAAAGATTTTTCTGCTATATTTTGTGAAATATTTTTGTACTTTATTTTTCAAGAATATCATATTACAGAACGTTATTTACTATATTCTTTAAAAATATCTTTTTTTAGTATTGTACAAGATTTTTGTTCTTTATATTAAAAAAATAAAAATTGTATTCGGTTTTTTACTATTTTACTAACATATTTACATTTTAAAAGCATCCTTTAAGTATTTCTCAATATTTTCTCCAATTTTTATCATATTTAACCATTCCTTATATTAATTATATAAGGTTTTTTTTTACTATTTCATGAGGATTTTTAATTATAGATATCTTGTTTTTAGGTTTGTTATTTATTCAAAAAACTTATGGGGAAAATATAAAGTTTAATATTAACTTGATAAAATATTTTCCTGTACAGATTAAACATCCTTTAATAATTAACAAGGCCTGCATTGCTTAATCAACGAAGTAAAACGTAATATCTCACAATAATCCCGGCGGGCTGAGGCGATGTGACAATGTTTTGGAGTAAAAATAGGGGGTAAAAGGAGGCACAAAACGTATTCAGAATTCCCTTTAATTAAGTAGCAAAGCGGATAGAAAGGCAAATTTATATTTACCAGCTCTCCGACAGTGTAATCGGCTTTAAAGATTTCTGCTGCTACATGCAGTGAACTTCCAATATGAACAATGCATTACCGCCTCTGCGAAATTGATATTTTTGCGCAGCACCCTAAGCCGCTTACCGCTAGCCAACAATCAGAAATAATTATTAGATTGATAGCCTTCCCCTTTCAACTATTTTACTTCTCAATGTTTCATATGGTGACTGTTTATTAGATTGTTAACCAGATTTAAAATCACAGGCAATATTAAATACAAAAAATAGCTCTGTGCAAAATTGTTGTGTTGGGTATAAATAAGCAATAAGTTAGATGCGTTGGGCAGCAGTTTTAGAAATGCAATTTTTAAAAATAATGTATTTTTGGAATTATATCCTGATAATGCTATAATTTCGACATTTTTTGTAAAACACAAAATGTCAAAATTTTAATTTTACATTTTTAGCTTTAAAATGCAATTTTCAAAATGAATATACATTTGTTATCCCAATAATTTTATAAAACTTTAAATATTTTGTGGCAGATACAAACAATTAAAAAAAACTATTTAGTTTAAACTAAAAAATGTAAAAAAGTTATAAACACAGACCAACAAATGGTTATAAATGTCTTAAAATTAAACATATAAATTGTTGTATCCCGGCGCATTCGCCATTTTTGTAACTAAAATATTTCTTGTTTTTCCTAAAAATGTTAATATTGTAATATTTGTTCTAAACAAATTTTTTATACTTGTCCCATATAATGCTAAAGCCCTATGACCAAATAATTTGCAAATTGGTGTACTTTATTATTGAATGTATTACTAATCTGCTTCTATTTTTGTTTTAAAGTCGCGTTCACACATGTTATTAACACACCCATTGGTCTTAATATAAACAAGCCGCTCTTAATAGGGCCAACATATTAAAAATTAACAAAACAAATTTGATAAATGTTTATTTAGGTAAACGGAAAAAAAGCCCCTGGAAAAAAAACCATGGAAAAAAAACCCCCGGAAAAAAAACCCCGGAAAAAAAAACCCCTAGGAAAATAAACCTACAGGAAAAAATACCCCCTTACAATTTTTTTCGGAATTTTTTAACAATTTCTTTATATTTTTTTTTAACTTTTTTAGAATTTTTTTACAATTTTTTTTACAATTTTTAGCATTTTTGGGCATTGATTTTTGCAATTTTTTTTTTATTTTTGCCAATTTCGGGGATTTTTACTCAATGGGGCGGGGGGGGGTCAATGGGGCGGGGGTCGGTAGGGTTGTGTTGTTGAGTTTGGGTTGATTTGGGTTGGTTTCGCTCATTTTTGCGGTATTTTTACAATTTTTGCATTTTTTATGTGACACTCGTCAAACCGGGATTTATTTTTTGGCTTTTTTTTCCTTGGGTTTTTTTCCTAGGGGTTTTTTTTCCTAGGGGTTTTTTCCGGGGGGTTTTTTTTCCGTGGTTTTTTTTCCAGGGGTATTATTTCCTAGATTCGTTTATTTAACCCCTGGAGTGCGTTCGAAATAAGAGTGTACTTTGGATATGGGTTATCAGGTGATTTTACATTATACCTGACCTCCTTGTTATTTTTGAACACTGCGGAGCATATACCTGGTTAATTCAAGTTTTTGTGATAAATTTGTTGTTAAAAATTCAATTTTCTTACTTTCTTTAAGAAACTTTCTTGACCCATTACTGGTAATGTTCATAAAAAAAAATTGAACCTACACCTCGCCAAAGTTAAAAAACATAAGTTTTGAGTGCGTTCCACCAACTTCAAATACCGACAGACAGCTGTTTCGCCCTATATTGGGTCTCATCAGTGTCGGGCAACTTGGTTTAGTGGAACACACTCAAAACAAAGGACTCCCTGAGCTTATATGCTTGGTTGGTAAGCCAACAGAGGCGAGATGTAAGAACATCAGGTGATCCACACCGTTAAACGACGTGGCCTTTGCCGCAATCGGTACATACTATGCAACCGAGACTGCACACAGCAATTGTATCACAGATACTAATATGGCCTAAAGGAATCTAGAATTAACCGGGATAAACATTAAGGTAAACATTCAATTTTCTTAGTTTCTTTAAGAAACTTTCTTGACCCATTACTGGTAATGTTCATATATGATTATAATGTTTTTTATTGAATTTTAAATAGATATTAATAAATTATATAAAGGTAAATTAAAATTATTGTTTGATGGACCCTATGCGCATGACGGGTATAACATAACCAAGTTGTATATATCTAGGTATATACCAGAGAAATCGAACGGGCAAGGTAAACTTGAAGTGTATTCAGAGTGCACTCTTGCGAGTTTTCAAACGCGCTCCTAGTACTATATCTGTAAGGAAGCTTTAACATTTAAAACGAGTTCAGCACATGCTGTCACGAAACTTTCTTACCTTCAATCTTTATAAGTAGCAACTGACGCAAACTAAAGTTTATGCATCACTATCTGGCGGTGTTGAACTGTCGCAACCCGAAATTCATGCATCACCATAATATTATTGCGGTGTTCATAGAAATATGCAAATAACTCTACACATAGTTAGATAGATAGATACTTTTTTATGTGAGACTGTTAAAATCAACGCCAGGTTTAAAACTTAGCCAAATAGAGTTTTTGGCCTTATTAGGTAAGTGGCCTTATATGGAACAGGTACCTAATATAAAAAAACCTAATTTGCAAAATACACTCACAGGCAAAATAATCGATCCACACAAATTTTCGATGAATTTCAATCGCAAATACCTTTTTTACTTGATGTCGGATTTAAACGAATATTAAAGAATATTGTAGATAAATTAATGGACAATCGCTCACATTTTAAAAAATTACTAAAAAAAATAGACGTACGCTTATAATATACAGGTTTAAACAAAAATATGTTTTTTACCATAAGTTTAAGACACTCTGTAGAGTGGCAAAACCGTATATTGTTCTAAATTAAGTTTTATTTATCAAGTCACATCTATTCTTAACAGTTTTGTTTTTGGTTCACCTCGATATATTTATTTTTGTGGAATATATGGATTTTTTAAAAAAACATTGCAATTTCCAATATTTTTCTGTATGAAGAACTAAGGTTGATATGGTCCATCCTCCATAGGCTATGGAGAATGACAGTGACAGTTTTGTTGAATCATCCCATACTTGGACATGTCATACACGGCTTTCAAAAGCTATCAAATTGTTTTATGCAAATTAATGTTTAAATTTTGAGGTGTCTTCTTACTTTAAAAAATGGATATGTCTCCGACGGATGTTGCCAGAGCCATTAATTTAATCCAGGATGGAGGGTCACAGTATTATGTGGCAAGTGTTTTAAACGTCACAAGAAGTAAAGTACAAAGGGCAACATCAGTCGGAGACATTTTTAAAAGTAAGAAGACACCTCAAAATGAACATATTAATTTACAAAAAACAATTTGATAGCTTTTGAAAGCTGTATATGACATGTCCAAGTATGGGATGATTCAACAAAACTCCAACCTAGTTCTTTATACAGGAAAAATATTGGAAATTGCAATGTTTTTTTTTAAATCCACATTTTTCACAAAAAATAAATATATCATGTAAACCAAAAACAAAACTGTTAAAAATTGATAATTAAAACTTAATTTAGAACAATATACGGTTTTGCCACTCTACAGAGTGTCTTAAACTTATGGTAAAAAACATCTTTTTGTTTAAACCTGTATATTATAAACGTACGTGTATTTTTTAGTAATTTTTTAAAATGTGAGCGATTGTCCATTAATGTTGAAACAATATTCTTTAATATTTGTTTAAATCCGAAATCAAATAAAAAAATTATTTCCGATTGAAATTCATCGAAAATTTGTGTGGATCGATTATTTTGCTTGTGAGTGTAGATGAGGATTTATTAAAAAAGTTTTTTTTATATAACATACAATCTAAAATGTTTAATTAATTTACAATAACTTAAATAAATCTTTATTACTTTCAAGCAAACCCGTGGGAATATAGAAGTAGACTACTTAAAAACCGCTTACCTTCTGAGCGACGAAAATTTCATAGGTGGCGCAGACCCCCGCCACCGTGATTCCTTGCTCTTTGCATAGCATTGCCGTCGCAATTGACAGCATGGAGAAAACAAGCTGTCGCCAACCTGCAACAAAAACGACAAGGGACCCTTAGATATACACAAAGAAAACGACGCAAAGTTGTCTCAAAGAAACATTTTTTTCCTAAAAATGAGTTTTTATTGTACTAAATTTCCCGTATTATGCATGGAAAAGATCTATAGATCACATTCTTAAAACAATAATATTTGACGCTAACAGGTGCTATAATAGCACTGTGCGTCTGCAGGACTTATAGTACAAATTTCATGTGCAAAATATTGGTAAGGGTGTTTTTTTGTTCACAAGCAAACCCAAAGTTGTACATTATTTTTAAATTACTCTTATTGTGAAGGTGTTTACAATGGAAAAATATTTTATTATGTGGACGCAACTTTGAATAGAGATGGGAGTTAAATTTGCGTTAAAAATCTTTTAATACCGACTCGCATACTGAATGCAGTTTCATTATGAGATAAAAAACGGGCAGGAACAAACGGTTCGTTTTCATAAATCCTTAATAATGCAGTTTTCATCCGTTTTATTGGAGATTTGGCAAACAACATTTTTATTGCACTTTGCGAGCATTTCCTTACGTTTGTTTAAATTGTTAAATTTATTCTTTTGGTTTCGCGTGATAGAAACAATTTAATTTGTTTTTATGTAAACAGGGCCTTTCTTAATTGGTTGCTGGTAGAAAATGGGCTAAATCCTTGTATGATTTAAAAAAACAAGGTGCGCAACCGCTTTATTTGGGAAGTATTGAAAATTAAAACAAATACAGGTTTTTCTTTATACCTATCTTTTAAACCAATTTATACATTTTTTTCCATTTTTTTCAATTGTACCAGTGAGTGGCTTTCACAAACATGCCTTTAAATATTTTTTACTAAAAACATGACACGCCACTGCGAAGTAGTAGTAAAAATGGCCTCTTAACATTATTCTGATTAACGATTTTAGAATAAAACCTTAAAAGCATTTTCCTGTCACCACTCTTGAATTTACTAGGCAAGAAATACAGGGTGTTTTTAATGACGTTCTAATTAAATAATATGACTTTTTTGTAATATGTAAATAAAAACACAGTGAACTTCCAATATGAACAATGCATTACCGCCTCTGCGAAATTGATATTTTTGCGCAGCACCCTAAGCCGCTTACCGCTAGCCAACAATCAGAAATAATTATTAGATTGATAGCCTTCCCCTTTCAACTATTTTACTTCTCAATGTTTCATATGGTGACTGTTTATTAGATTGTTAACCAGATTTAAAATCACAGGCAATATTAAATACAAAAAATAGCTCTGTGCAAAATTGTTGTGTTGGGTATAAATAAGCAATAAGTTAGATGCGTTGGGCAGCAGTTTTAGAAATGCAATTTTTAAAAATAATGTATTTTTGGAATTATATCCTGATAATGCTATAATTTCGACATTTTTTGTAAAACACAAAATGTCAAAATTTTAATTTTACATTTTTAGCTTTAAAATGCAATTTTCAAAATGAATATACATTTGTTATCCCAATAATTTTATAAAACTTTAAATATTTTGTGGCAGATACAAACAATTAAAAAAAACTATTTAGTTTAAACTAAAAAATGTAAAAAAGTTATAAACACAGACCAACAAATGGTTATAAATGTCTTAAAATTAAACATATAAATTGTTGTATCCCGGCGCATTCGCCATTTTTGTAACTAAAATATTTCTTGTTTTTCCTAAAAATGTTAATATTGTAATATTTGTTCTAAACAAATTAATTTTTTATACTTGTCCCATATAATGCTAAAGCCCTATGACCAAATAATTTGCAAATTGGTGTACTTTATTATTGAATGTATTACTAATCTGCTTCTATTTTTGTTTTAAAGTCGCGTTCACACATGTTATTAACACACCCATTGGTCTTAATATAAACAAGCCGCTCTTAATAGGGCCAACATATTAAAAATTAACAAAACAAATTTGATAAATGTTTATTTAGGTAAACGGAAAAAAAGCCCCTGGAAAAAAAACCATGGAAAAAAAACCCCCGGAAAAAAAACCCCGGAAAAAAAACCCCTAGGAAAATAAACCTACAGGAAAAAATACCCCCTTACAATTTTTTTCGGAATTTTTTAACAATTTCTTTATATTTTTTTTTAACTTTTTTAGAATTTTTTTACAATTTTTTTTACAATTTTTAGCATTTTTGGGCATTGATTTTTGCAATTTTTTTTTTATTTTTGCCAATTTCGGGGATTTTTACTCAATGGGGCGGGGGGGGGGGTCAATGGGGCGGGGTCGGTAGGGTTGTGTAGTAGTAAAAATGGCCTCTTAACATTATTCTGATTAACGATTTTAGAATAAAACCTTAAAAGCATTTTCCTGTCACCACTCTTGAATTTACTAGGCAAGAAATACAGGGTGTTTTTAATGACGTTCTAATTAAATAATATGACTTTTTTGTAATATGTAAATAAAAACACAGTGATACACATTTAACATGTTACCACAACATAATATTTATTTCAAATTACTGTTTGCATTAGTATAGTATAGTATATTATGAATCAAGTTTAATAATGCTATTATGGTCACGAATTTAATTTAGGCACGAGCGAATGCTTAATTAAATGAGTGTCTAGAAAAGTTTATAATCATTATGTCAAATTTGTATGTGTAAATCGAAATTTATCCCTTGACAACCGTTTAAATGATGATATAGAAGCAGTGAAAGTGAAGAGAATGTTTTATGGGCACTTTACGGTGGAGGCTCCACCCGAAATCTTTAATGCTCAGTTAAATCTAGTTTACTGCCGGCAAAATCAAAGGGTCAGAACAAACTTGCATATAAACTTTTCAATAGGTATTGGCGTTGATAAACTTTTTTTCTACTCCCACCTTTAAAACGCCCTTTATCGTACATGTTTCCATGACACTAAGTGACCTTTTAAATACACATTAACAAGTTGTGGCTTTATGGCGCTTTAGTCAAGGGCTGAAGTTAGCAACAGGTTTTTACTCACGGGCTGAAGTTAGTTTTAAGTTAGTTGACAGTTGTCAAATGTCATACAATCGTTAAAATAAAGTGCCTTTCTTGTAAAATAATACTAAATGTGAAAATTATTTCCTCAATACAAAAATACAATAGTTATTTATGTCATTAGGTTAAGAAGTAAGGCTTTTTGTGCTAAGCTCAAGGTTTGAAGGCCGACGCGTAGCGGAGGCCTACAATTGAGCGAAGCACAAAAAGGCACTTCTTGGCCGAATGGCATACAACATTTTATCTTCAAACCACTTTATATAGGTCAATTTAATTCAAAATCAAAGCGGCCTAATCTCATTTATTTATTAGCTAAAGATTACATTAAATGTACAATAATTAATGCACAATAATTATTATTGCTTTTAGAAGCAGTAATAGTTTGACAATACCTAGCTACATGATTTAAGTAGAAAGGGATTTTTGCTATTACATTGAATTCAATTAATTGTTTAATAATTAGGTAGGTATCTAATTTCAATTTGTTTGGATTTTTATTTAAAAAATATGTAGTTTGGAATATTTAAGTTGTGTTTAACATTTAATTTCACTGAAAACTTAAAGCAAATTAAAACTCAAAGATAATTTAAATCGTAGAAAAAGAATCGTGCGTTTTCTTGTCTGCCTAACCTCACTTTTTGTTTTATTATTCATATTTAATTTTACAATAATTTAATGAAAAATATTAAACATTAACAGTAAAACAAACAAATTAGTGCTTATTATAAATAAATTAAACCAGTTTAGTACGTTAATTTCTTAGAAAAGGATTAATTTGTCAAAACAATACCCCTAGCGAGAAAAAATCGAACTAATTACTTACTTCATAAAATTTTTTATCGGCCTAGGCCATAACAAGGTATTTCTTTATCGAATGTTGACAACAATAAAGTTTAAATAATAGACCGCGTGGAGATAAAAGTATTAAATAGTTTCTCAATGCCAATATTTGAAAAGTTTATATGAACATTGTACTGACCTTTTAATTTCGCCGGCAGTAAACTATAACTTAAATTCGGGCACGGACTCCACTGTAGAGTGCTCATAAAACATTTTCTTTACTTTCACTGTGAAAAACTGTCAATTTTTAAGAAATATTTCGATTTATAACCTTTATAATCTGTGTTTATAAAATATAAAAATTTGACATTTGTCGGTGACACACAGATTTTCCTATTGTTTCATAGATACTATACAAATTTTTTATTTAAATCATTTTAAGATAATAATAAGTATTTGTCGTAGAAAAAGTATGTGCACCTCGTTTATCTCGTTTATAAACTTTTCTATACACTCATTAATTTAAGCACTCGCTCGCAAGCTCTCTCGTGCCTAAATTAAATTCGTGTATAAAATGGCGTTTATCAAACTTGATACATAATATACTATTTTACTTTTTATTTTGGTATTAAGATAATAAAATAATTTCCACATTATTATTACACAAGAAGGGCACTTTATTTTAACGATTGTATTGACATTTGACGATTGTATTGACATTTGACAACAGTCAACTAACTTAAAACTAACTTCAGTCTGTGACTAAAACGCCATAAACCTGTTGCTAACTTCAGCCCGTGACTAAAACGCCATAAAGCCACAACTTGTTAATGTGTATTTAAAAGATCACTTAGTGTCATGGAAACATGTACGATAATGTGAGTTATACAAGGTGGAAGTAGAAAAAACTTACATGATAATTAAAAAAATAATTGTCCGAATAAGTTTGCAGAGCAGAGCAGTGCGAAACAACGAAGCGCGGATAATACATAAAAAGTTTTGCACTGATAAAATTATAATTCGGATTCGAAGCAATCTGAATCGGAATCAGCGCGCAATTTTCAATGAAATTTATGAGATAAAATTGTAATTTCAAATAACGCAAAACGAATTATAACACGAAAAATGTGTTTTATCCCTCTAAAAACCCAAAACAAACAAATCTGATATGCTAATTTACCCAAATTAATAGATTGATTAGTTTTTATCGATGACATTTCGTCACCTGAGAATTA